ACGCCTATTTTAGAACCAAAATAAGGCCTTTCACTCTTCCCCGACGCCTATTCAAGAGATTGTACGGTGTATTGTTTGTTTTGTGCATGTGTTGTGGACAAAAAATGACCACGCCCATTTAGTGATTGCAATATGTACGTAATAGAAACCGCACCCCGAACTTGAGCTTTTGATCCCAATTTTTAAATTGATACATTGTAATATAAACCGCGGTTTATAATAGGACTTTAACGGTAGTCAAAATAAACCTGTTATTCACTCAGTTGCAGGGTGAATATTAGTAGTCAAAATAAACCTGTTATTCATCCAGTTGCAAGGGCGAATAGTCAAAATAGACCTGTTATTAACCCAGTTGCAGGGTGAATACTAGTAGTCAAAATAAACCTGTTATTCACCCAGTTGTAGGGTAAATAGTCGAAATAGACCTGTTATTAACCATGTTGCAGGGTGAATAGCCGAAATAGACCTGTTATTAACCATGTTGCAGGGTGAATAGTCAAAATAAACCTGTTATTCATCCAGTTACAGGGTGAATAGTAGAAATAGACCTGTTATTAATCAAGTTGCAGGGTGAATAGTAGAAATAGACCTGTTATTAACCATGTTGCAGGGTGAATAGTCAAAATAAACCTGTTATTAATCAAGTTGCAGGGTGAATAGTCAAAATAAACCTGTTATTAACCCAGTTGCAGGGTGAATACTAGTAGTCAAAATAAACCTGTTATTCACCCAGTTGCAGGGTGAATAGTCAAAATAGACCCGTTATTCATCCAGTTACAGCATGAATAGTCGAAATAGACCTGTTATTCATCCAGTTGCAGGGTGAATAGTCGAAATAGACCTGTTATTCACCCAGTTGCAGGGTGAATAGCCGAAATAGACCTGTTATTCATCCAGTTGCAGGGTGAATAGTCGAAATAGACCTGTTATTCACCCAGTTGCAGGGTGAATAGCCGAAATAGACCTGTTATTAATCAAGTTGCAGGGTGAATAGTCAAAATATACTCACACAGTCGAGAGGTGAATATACCTCACTTACATCATACATGGGTAAATAGCTGATAGCATGGAGATAGAAAAGAGAAGGATTGAGAACGCTATTTAAGCCCATGTTAATCTAATAAACATCCTTTGTCTTCGGTCTGGTTAAGCCACTTATTGTTTTTGTTTAGAAGTCGTTTTA